ACGAAAATTTCCCCACCTAATACCAAGTTAGTGGTAAATTTTGATCCTGTACATAGTGATTTTACTCTTATTTTCTTTTACTTTACTTTCAGAATACTGCGTTTCGTTCAAATATTCAAGAAGCACTTTTAAAAGTCAGCGCCTGGGAGAGTGACCTCCCACGTGACCTAAGTTCTATATCTTCGAGTTCTATGTTCAGCCTTGTTGTAGGACTTTCTGCATTTTTAGGACTGGAATTTCTGGTATTACTTATATTTATCATATTGAAGAACATGAGGAAAAATAGTGATTTTTCGCTATTGCAACCCATTATTTAATTATGTTAACTCTTTTCATCAGTTTTGGACAAGTTTACGCTAAGCGAATCAGAATGCCTGATTCCGCTCACGTGATATGTGACTTATTCTAAGTATACTCTGGGATAGACATTTTGAATTGTAATATATGTATTTTGTGTTAACATTTGTTCTGCATTTATTTTGTTATTTTGTAACTTTTACTAAAATTATTGCTTTCCTGAAACATCTTCGACTGTTGTAATGAAACCATGATTCTGTTTACACCACCCCCATCACGTTATCATGGACTCAGAATTTCAACTTACAGGACTGCTAGACTGTATTATGTGATGAAATTTGGTTTATTCCATATGTTGTTACCCTGATGATTACTAGAAAAATTTCCCTTTTATGTAATTATTTCTGCAAATTTGTACATTTAATGTTTTCTTCAGCATTTCTAACCTAAAATCTCGCAACGTATTAACGACTTCTTCACACCTCACGTGACAAGGTAGTCACGCCCTCTCAACATCTGCAATCCTGACTTAGGTCTCACTCATGTATTCTCCTACTTTCAGCGCTCTATAGCAACTAACTCAGACAGCCGGAATTCTTCCTTTTCGAATTCTGAAAATAGCAGTTAACATTTGCATTCTGAACTGAGTAAAACGTTGAAATGTTTTCAAAAAATTGATTTTAAAATTCAAACCTAACCTTTATTAATGTAAGAATAATTTTAAGGTAAAAATGTGCTTTAGCCCACTGCTTGGCAATTTTCAGCTGTGACGATTTTTTGAAAATCGCTAGTAAAAGCTCAGAAAATGTTGCATAAACAAAGTTGCGAAGGCGGAGCTAAGTAACGTCCATAAATGGGTGGGACTAAGCTTGTGATGTCACAATGTATTCTCTATAGATATAGATACAAGTATAATAAATTGTTTGTATTCCAAATTACCATGATACAGTAAGTGAATTGTACCAGTTATTAAAACTGTAAACAGCGCCTCAGTCTCTCCTACTGTATTTCATACAGGGTGAATATTTTTGCCCCATGTGCAGAACAATTTGTATTCGCTCGAAAAACATCAAAGAATTGCACAAACTCGGTGTCCATGTACACACCGATCTATTTTTCATTAAAAAAATATCAGAGAATTTCACAAACTCGGCATTGCGCACTACATTGACTTTACCCATGTACACTTCGATCGATTTTTCACTTAAAGAGAATCAGAGAATTGCATAAACTCGGCATCGCGCACAACCTTGGCATTGCACACTGCCTTGGCTTTGCTCATGTATACAGCGATCTCTTTTCACTTATAAGACATCAGAAAATTTCACAAACTCGATATTGGCTTTGCTCATCTTCTAAGATTGAGCCGAAAAGATAATAAAATATTAAAAATAAGCAGCTTTAAAGAGAAAGTTAAAAGAAAAAAATTTCACTTACCCTTTTCAGGAAAATGTGTTTACAAAAAAATTCTTTTTGAGGGGCTTTTTTTTTTTTTTAAATTTATGTCGGGGGTGGAACCTCCCCCGTCTTAAGAAAGTTTACTCCTTTTTATTAAGAAAATTTACTCCTTTTTATCGGCCGTTTCCGGCGGATAAATCTTTATGATTGCCGTTAAAAAGGCACGATAATGTTCATCACTTAGTGAGCGGTTGTGCCATTTTCGCCACATATATTCCGCAAAATATGAATCAAATTCGCCATCTACGTGGATTGTATTGCGACGTAAATGACGCTTAATTCCAGATCAAGTAACCTCTATGGAATTAGTGTGCGCAGTCTCGGGATCAAGGAAGTACAGACTGTGGTTGACAGTCAGATGGCCATAACCTAATTTTTTTAGTCCACCATATGTCTTCCAGCAGTCTGAAACCACAGTTGATCCCGGCAACACCCATTCAACTGTCACTCTCTCCAAACTCACTTTTGATCTATTCTCACCCTCTCTAAAAAACATCTGTTCGTCCCTCTTTCTATACCACCAATTATCCAATGACTGTCCACGGGCTTTCCTCTTCCGTACTTCATTTTCCCGAACTTGTTCTCATCCACTTCAACTATTACTCCTTCACCACCAGTTGGAACGCTATCATTTATCACAGTCGTCATACACACTTCTCTGCAAAACATAAACCAATCAAGAACAGCATGTTCATGCAGTTCTTGAATCACAGATTCATTTCGCATTTTCGAAAACCAACACCTCGTAATTCTCGAAATATCACATATACTCAAATGGCTACGGCTAAACCATGAACCTATCCTTATACCCCTGCAAACATCATGCGCATTCACTTTTTCTTGCTTTCTACATCACCATTACACACCCATCGATACTTTCCTTTCTCTCACACTAACGCATATCACCACATTTCGAACAAACAAGAAAAGTAGCAATCAAACCAAATTTCACACATCATCCAATGACGACACGATTTATTTGCACTTCCAATAAAGTAATAAATGTACATGTACATTCACTCACCTCTCTCAGCATCACATAGAAATCCATAGCGACTGTTTATTTAACGAAATATGTGCAGAAAAATGGCAAAACACACAGGAAAAAAACCACTCGATTTATAACTACCACATAAGAACATTCGGTACTTTTCCGTTTCGCTGGCGCAAATCTCGCCAAGCAGACTTTGTTGGCGACAACGTACAGTATACACGTAAAAAATGTTAACAAATGTTAGGTCTAAGAACTTTTCATTTTGAAGGCATAAACATTTTAATATGGTTTAAAATTTTGAAAAAAGCCAATAAATAAAGACAATAAATTTGTAAAAAGACATTAATTAAAGAATTTACTATAGTTTCATGGTTTAACATCCTGATTCGCCGGTTCTTATCACGTGACCCCAAGTGATCTCATCTCACATAAACTACTAATTCTCTCAGTAATTATCTGCATTAATTTCAAGTTAAATCTTAATTTGGAATACAAGTTTAAATGTAAGAATTATTTCAATTCGTACGAACAGCTTACTCAGAAATTATGTAAAACCGCAGTGCTTTACTTTACTAGTGTATTCTCATTAGAACTGATGAATTTAATCCTTGATTTTTGCCTCTTCTATATTTTCGCCAGCGGGTGAATGGTGTGATTGCATCATTAATTGACTTAATTACCGCGAATGGTCTTAGGGAATAGCATTTAGCTATGTCTTGTAAAAATTCTATGTAATTGTATGGCAGTATTGAAAGACAATCAATTTGATAAGAAATGGCTGCGACTTGTTTTGAAAATGAGGCGTAAAAGGTTACCAGCGAAGATATTCCGTTTGGCATCAGTTGTACCATTATTGGCGACTTTACCGTTTGCGCCGGCAAAACGGAAAAGTATCGAATATTCAAACGACAATTGAATTAACTGCTCAAATTAGCAAGTAAAAATTCCAAAACAAATCGTCTGTTTGGAAATTCTTTTTAACTGCAGGTATATTTTTAAAAGCATAAATTATCGCCTGCTACTTGACAATTTGTCTTCGGATATTTGTGCTCTTTCCGAAGAAATTTATTCGTATCTAGTTATTAAAAAACGCTGTGAAAGCCATGGCTTTTCGATATCTAAAGGTACGATAGGTAATATTGTCAACAGGAAATTAAAAAAAAAAAAAAAAAAAAAAAACAGCAAATATAATTAGATTAAAAAACAAATAAAATCTGAAATTTAAGATTTTACATTACTCCCCAAAGGTGCGTTTATTTAGCATTTTGTGTGTTACCTTTATTTATCATGTTCTTCGCACGTAAATCGTAAAATTCAGTTCAACAGCAATATCGCAAAATAATTTTAAAATGAGCATATTTTTAGAATTTTCGATACATTTCGCGCGCTAGAGATAAAAATATTTTTCCCCGTATAGTGTTGACATTGCACGCTTTGAATTCGTTGAGTTTGTTAATCAAAAATCCGTTAAATGTTTTACAAAATACGAAATATATAATAAAACAAATTCCGAATTCGGGCTTCCAGATGCCCATATTCTTGTCGAAACGTACGTTATTCAAAATTTGATGGTTCTAGGTAGTGTTGTTTTATCACAATGCGAGAAACATACATACATTTATGCAGATTCTTCATTTTTAATTTCTTTAAATATAATACAGGGCCCTAATATTTTGTGGTAACAATTTAAAAAGTGAATTAATGTTTATAGTGAATCATAATATCGAGTTAGCCATGTTGGCGCATTTATTGCCCATTCAAAAAAAGTCGCCAAGCAGTGGGCTAAATTGCATTTCAGCCAATTTTAATTTTTTTAGAATGCTGAGAAGTTTAAAGTTATGTGCTTGATCAAAAGAAAATGTCCAATGTGAAGTGCAGGGTAAAAATTTTATGTTATACGAGTAAAGCTGAAGCGAATAAACCATGTTATAAAAATTATCTTCTGAGCTTTCTTGTTTGAGTGGATTATTTTCGCTTGTCGCAGCTGACGGCTGTAACAACGCTTTGTTTCTCATTAGTATAGAAACATGTCAAATCAAAATTCTTGCCAAGACTGCTAAAGAAGACAGGTACCAATATTTCTAAATCTTCTTTCTAGAAGATGCTTAGATAACATTTAAAATCCTACCGTCTATATACATTTTATGCATTCATAATCTACTCATTTATATTTTTTCTGTGCTTTCTATCTTCAATTAATTATACAAAGAATTTTGTTTCACTTAATTATCGAATTAATTAAAACTTTCAGCTGGCTGAAAGCACAACTGTACATTTTGAATTTCAAGAATATGGTAAGTGATAAAATTTGTTTTCTTTTAAATTTAAGATCAATTTAAGTTTCAAATTTATAGAAAAGATGATAATTGTGATCATAAGCGCTGGTTAACATTAATTGCAATAGTGTAACTGTAACGTGTTCTCTCTGATTGTAATACAAATTAATATTTGTATGATTATTATCTTTTGTATACTTACTTATTCGGTCATTAGATTGAAATCTTTCGTCTTTTTCAGTGTTACCAACATTCACCGTTGAACTCAAAACCGAAGATGTAATTCTTGAATCTTCTGAATTCATTACTATTTCTGTGAAAGCAAAGTATGCTCCCATTATTAATAATCTTTAAATTCTTTAGGTTTTTTATGAGTATCTTTAAATTAATCACTTATCTTAAATATCCTACAGTTATTTTTGGAAATATATTAACTTAAAGTCGTATCATATAATCTCCTCAAAAGGAATTATATAAAGATGTATGTAAAATGATTATAATTACATACATTTTTGAATATTTTTGAAGAAAATAAAGAATGTTCTTAAACAAAATGAAAATGCATATTACTGAAGAAAATTAAATAAAATACAGTGAAGACGTAAGATGAATGTAATTTACGCTGTAACCATGCACTGACTTTTCTAATGTTTTGAATATCCAGATTTCTTTTTTAAAATTTGATATCAACTATATTACTATATCTCTTTTAATGATACCTTCAGTATTATCATTAAAATTTATTCTGTTACTTTATTATAAATTTTTAATTTCTTAAAATTTTAATTTTATTTTTTAATTTTCTCTAATATTTCACAAAGTTAAAAAAATTCATTCCAGTAATTAAATTTATTAACTTTATCATTGCGTTTCTCTCTACACCATTTTATTTTTTCCCTTTTGTCGGCGAATTTTTTCAGCTTAATAATAGATCCCAAATTTTCATTTTCCATCTTATTAAACTACCGTCCTACTAATCATCTCGTACAACACGTATTTCCAATTTTCTTTCTTTCCAGTTACATGAATGGGCACACTAAATCCAAGAAATATCACAGATTTTTAATTTCATATTTTCTTTTCCATTCCCTTTCTTATTTAATTAACTGAAGTAATTATTAAAATTATTCTATTCCCTAATTTTAGGTCTATCTTTGCTTGTTGAAGTATTTCACAATAATAGGCTAATAGCTACCCTTAAAGTTTTTTTTAATAATTTCATTTGTAACAGTTTTTTTGAGTTTTAAAAAATATTGATTTAACTTGTTGCTTTTCAGTTCCCTAACTGTTTAATTAGTTTCCAGAATTATTGTTTTGAACTGTTTATGTTTTTTCACGAACTATTACGTTGAACTGTTTAAGTACAGTAGTTTTAGTTTGTCGGAGCAGATTATATCTTGACGATTGGTTTCAAAAATCTTAACTTTTTAAAACTTTTATTCTTTATTTCATGCATTCTTTCTTTGTATTCTGTAAAAATTTGATGGCCTTAAATTATTTTTATTAGTTTCAATTTTTTTGGCATTTTCTTTTATAATCATCCACATATAATTCAGAAACGTTGCACTGTTGAAAATTTGTGGACTTCTCCTTGAAAAAGACCAAGGAATTTTCAGCTACTTGTTTTGCTGTAATTTTCTTAAATATTTTGTATAAATATTAGCTGTTTCTGTTAACCCAGAATTACTGAACCTGATAAGATCATCAGTGAATCTAAAAGTAAGATTAAATTTTGCTGTTTGATCATGATTTTTTATGAAATTGAACTCTTGTACCCCCCCCCCCAAAAAAAAAGACTGTAAATAATAATTGCTTCCACGGGAATATCATTAATCTGTAGGTATCTTTAAGATAAAATTATGAAAAAGTTAACATTTAACATATATATATCTATATACATACATACACAGTCTCGTCCACAAAAGCCCTTAAGCAGACTTTATGTCGCCAATCGTTGGTTGCAGACATATACTTGCAATTATAAAATGTTTTAAATGATGCAAAGATTCATGTTTTCATCATTTTTAAATTTAAAGAAATCAATTTTATAAACATTAACCAAAACTAACTTTGTGTACGTTTCTCCGGTTCCTATACTTATATTTAGGAAAATTTTGTATTCATAACAAAATTAAACACAGCGAGTTTGTCCCCCGTAAGACAAAAATTGATTGAGATATTTAATTTAAAAATTTGAGACTTTTGACGTCATATTCAGTTTGTACTAAAATTCAGTTAATACATAAATTAGAATAATTCGGGATTAATTTTCCTTTTAAATACCATTCAATGATTTCGTTTTGTGATTTAATACCGTCTAATTCATAATTTTGTTTCATTTGGTACGTCAAAAAGTTTTTTTCAGACGTAATTCAGACGTCTAAAAACACGTTATTAGTATTCTCATGAAGTTCTATTACTTCAGAATCATAATGTAGTAATCGTAAAAAAAATTCATTAAACTAAAAATATTTAAAAATTTTTAATTAATGCAAATCGCATTACGATTTGGTTTAGATCCAATATCGTAGCCAATCTTTTCTAGAACATGAATTCTATACGATTCTCTAAACAAGGTATCTATTTCGCATTTTGAAAAAAAAAAAAAAAAAGTAGTATATATATATTATTCAACACTTTTTATTATGATTTGTATGTAAATGCTCGTCACTTGACCTCACAACAGCAGAATTTTTTTTCTAAACTTTTGTTTTATTTTTAATTGCGTAAACATGCAAACATTTCGTTCTTCTGTTACGTACGGCTTCTGAATATAATACTCGACCTACCGAATATCTCGGTCAATATTTGTCATACGGAAGTCAAACGTTAGACCGGCTGAATATAGTATAAAAACATTAGATTTTGCATTTTATATAAAACTGAATTGTCACACGTGTGAAGTGTGTGATTATTAAATATACGATTACAAGTACTTAAAGTAATAAAAATTTATATAAAAGGAAATTATTAAAAAAAGAAATTTAAATTATTCTCTCTCTTAAATAAAGAACACGAATATAATAGAAATAAAAAGGTACTTCACTGTTCACCAAAATCAAATACAATGTGAAAAGAGCATAGAACACCAAATATAAAAAATATATATGTAAATTACCTATAAATATATAGTTATATTTTTATTTCAATTAATACTATTGGTGAGCGAAAAGGGAAATGAATTACTAAGCAAATCAACATTTGTTAAAAATGAAATAAAATGTAGGTGAAATCTAGTATATGTTGAAGCAAAAAATGTGATTACAGTTTAAAGCTGTAACTTGGTTTGCTGATTTTGCTTTCCAGCACAAACGCGCTTAAGATATATTAAACTGCTTGCCCTCTCAGAGTCTGGGGATTAATAGAGGAGTGTTAACAAGAACTAGGAGCTGTATTGGTACTTATTTTTCGTAGCGAACTTGGTGAGAATGTTAATTCGATGTGTTTCTCCATTGGCGAGAAATAAGCGGTTACCGATCTGAGCTTGTACGAGGAATGTTAACAGATCTAACTGGTTTTTCGTAATTGCAGTTTTAACAATATAGCTGGTGTTCATTATCAAATACTTATTATTTTCACTATTTTCAATCTTCCATCAGCGAAAAAAGAAGCTATAGCTAATGTTTGAGGCATTACTAGCAGTAATAGCTAAACTGTGGTCACCAGAAAGAATCTGTAAAAATTGAATTTTATCGTATATACATATATGTTTTTTAATAAATTGGTAATAATATTATATTAGGTAAAAGAATAAATAGAATTTTTTGGTATGTTTAACAATAAAAAATTCCGGCATGTTTACATATGCTGTCATTTTCAATAAATTGCTTATACACGCTATAACATAAAATGCGACGTGCCAAGAACGAATTATCCAAATGGGACGAAACTCGGTAGATTCGGCGCACATATTTTGAAAACAAAATGTTAGCAGTATCATAGTAATTGAATATTTTATTCATGGAGTTAGCTACACTTTGATCTTAGCCAAAAGACCAAGAAGCTAGAAGAAAAAAAATTAGTAATGAGTATTTTCACTTCTGGCCCTGATGCAAGCTGTTATCTGGGTGCTTGCGAGATTGCTTGCCATACACGTTCCAAATTGCGAGTTAGATCGATATGATCCTCGAATGATCGAAGACACCTGCTGATCAGAACCTAAAAGTGGTCTCATGGGGAGAGATTTGGCGAATGCGCCACCCAGAAAAGCGTTGGAGAAGCGCGAAGAAACGATGCAGAAAAGTGTGCTATTTACGGCTGGGAATCTGTTGAAATGTAAGTCTGAGATCTGTTAAAGTAAGGGCAAAAATACAGGGCGTAGAACCTCGTCAATGTGCCGCCCTGCTGTAAACTTGTCACGGATGACAAACAAATGGGGTCCAGTTATCAAATGAAATAACGCTCTATGCCATAACTGCTGGCTGTCGGGCTGCGTGGTGGGCGGCAGTAGGTGACTATCGCGTCGCTGAGCTGGACGACTTGAGAATCATCTTCGCTGCTTATCGGGGCTCAGTTTGAAGAGGGACACATATGTATCGATCCTGCGATTTGACAATTCTGCTTTCTTTAGTACCAAATGCACGTTCTCTCTCAAATGGTGATTTCTGCTCATACTATCCATGAACCCTTCTACGAGGAATTGAAATAATGCACGTGGATCGACGGCCCCACATTCGCATGGATGGTATACACCTTAGCATAGGAATGTCTTCTGTTTTATATACTATCCGGAAATGAAATTTTTGACACTGTCTTTCTAAAAGATGATCCAACTGAAGATTCTCCTACTCAAACCACAATCCGTAACTGCAATGACATTCCACAAACAGACAACGATATTCTGTTCTCAAAACAAGAAATCAAGCAAATAATTAAAAACCTAGCTTTAAAAAAAGCACCAGACCCAGATGGCATAGATAATGACATTATAAAATTAATCAATCAAGCCCATCCTGACATAATCTGTTGTTTTTTGCAATCGATGTATACAGCTCTCGACCTTTTCTCATTGTCCGAAAATTTGTAATAACTTCAATAAGAACAATAAAAGCAAATCTTATCATCCGATAAATCCTTCCCCAGCCCTGGGAAAAGTTTTAGAAAGATGTCTTATTGGCCGCCTAAAATTTCATGTTTACAGCAAAAACTTAATATGAAATAACCAGTTTGGATTTCAAAAAGTCATGCAATTAACCTGCTTTCAACAAGTCATGCAATTAATTTAACTCTTGAACAATTTAGAAACAATAAAATCAACCAACTTCATTTTGCAGTAATATGTCTCCACTTAAAATTAACTTTTAATTCTTTATGGTGGCCAACAATT